CATACCAAATTATTTTTAAATACCAGATAAAAGGATTTGAATGTTTTCAACATAAATAAAATTGTTTAATGAGCTATTTTTACCCTGATTATACGTTAACAGTGTGCACACATATCAGAACATCAATGGTATACCCCCATGAATTTGTACAATTTTCTGCGTCAGCTAAAATGTTTTTAATTTTTTTTAAAAAAAGAGTAAATGTAGTCCCTCCAAACCATTCTTTATTCATATCTTGTCACTAGGAATGTTCTTAAAAAACAGACTTAAACTCTGTTGACAAGTTAACTTGAAGTCATTAGTCTGCTTAAAGTCCCTTACTGGGGTCAGTGTTGTGGTGCGGCAGATTAAGCTGCTGTTTGGAAATCCTGCATCCCATATGGGAGTGCCCAATGAAGTGCCAACTACTCCACTTGTGATCCAATTTCCCACTAATGTGCCTGGAGGGCAGCTGATGACGGCCCAAGGGCTTGGTTCCTTGCCACCTGTGTTGGAGATGCAGATGGAGTTCCTAACTCCTGGCTTCAGCCTGGCCTAACCCTATATGTTGGGTAATGAGCTCCGTGATAGGATATCCATCTCTCCCTCTCTTTCTCTGTCATTCTACCTTTCAAATTAATAAATAAATCTTTATTTGAAAAAATAAAAGCCCCTCATTGAATTTCTACTTTTGCAGAAATGAGTTTCATTTATCTAAAATGCTCTCTCCTTTCCTTCCTGGTTCTCAATTATCCTTTGAAACTCAGCTCAGGCATCATCTCATCAGGAAACATTCTTAGTGCTCCATAAATTCTTCGTTAGGTAGTTTCTGTATGTCTCCCATTTCACCCTGTGAATATTTCTGTCATTGCCCATACAATACTGTCTTGTCATCACTTCTTTGTTTATCCATCTTCCCCTTCCTAACATGTGCTATACATGTGAATTCCTTGAGCATGTCACCTAGGTACTAGTGGTATTTTTGTCCCCAGTGTCTAGCATATAGTACATTCCCAATAGATGATGAACTGCTGAATAAATCAGTCAGTGAACTAATTTACTTTGGTAAGAAACAGAAGACTGAAGAGATGACATCTGAACTGTATCTGCAAAGTTACATGAGATTTTCCAGAAGAAAAAGGAAAAGGAAAATGTTGGGACCAGTGCAGCGGCATAGTAAGTAAAGCCGCAGCCTGCATGCCAGCATCCCATATGGGCACCTGTTCAAGTCCCAGCTACTCCACTTCTTATCCAGCTCCCTGCTAATGTGCCTGAGAAAGCAGTGGAAGATGGCCCAAGTGCTTGGGCTCCTACTTTCATGGGAGACCCAGAGGAAGCTGGCTCTGGCTTCTGCCTGGCCCAGCTCCAGCCATTACAGCCATTTGGGGAATAAAGTAATTAATTGAAGATTTCTCTCTCCTCTCCTCTCCTCCCCCCGCCCACTCTGTCTCTGTAACTCTGCCTTTCAAGTAAATAAATAAATCTTAAAAAAAAAAAGGAAAAAGAAAAGTGCCCTCCCTTTCAAAGGAATGCGCTTCCTACTCTGTGCATTACCTGCAAATGCACAGAGACAAATAAAAGCCCAGTATGTTTAGGATGTAGCAAATCATACTTTGTGTCAGAAACTGGACATTTGTCAGAAATAAAGATCAATTTCAATATAAATATTTCATGTGTTGTGCTAGACATGTCTTAAACTAGCAGTTTAATTATGATAGGATATGATTTTTTATTTTGTGGACTAATGAAGTTTGGATTGTTTATATCATATAAATCATTCCGTTATTCCCAGCCATACATACATTTTTTTCACTCCAAAGTTATTGAGATTTCTCAAAAATTTGAGGGCTATTTATGTATATGTTAGGATAGGAGATACTTACTATTGCAACTGCTAGAACAAAGTTTTTACTTTATTTTCCATAATCAAATTTTATAAAATTATGAGTGAGTAGATTCTATGGAGAATATTCCAGAATGGAATTACACAATAAGATGTAACTCAGGCATTAAAAGGAGAAATTGTCAACTTTTCTCTAAATTGACTATCATTGAGTTCTTAATCAACTTCCTTTTACTTCCATATGTCCAAATCTTGCAAAAACAAAAGATAATCATTATTCCTAGCCTCAGAGAATTATGGTAATGCATTCATTTACATTTTAAGCCACTCTGAGATTTACAGCTGTCTGTGTCAGTAGTCTTTCAGATTTGGCATACTAAGTGGTCAGCCTCTGTCTACTTGGAGTGTGGAACTAAGGAGAGCCATACTGACCCCATACTATTTCTTTTGGGTTATGGAAAAGGAACTAATGTGGACAGATGACTGTGTGCTGCCATGGCTTATGGCCAACAGTTCTTCTGAGGCTTGCTTGTTAGTGTCGGTGGTGCTAACATAAAATTTATTGGTTTAACCATTTTTAAGAATACAGCTCATTGGTATTAAGTATATTTACATTGTTCCATCCATCTCCAGAATGTTCTCATCTTCCCAAGCTGAAAACTCTGTACCAATTAAACTCTTAATTCCCATATCCCTCCTCCTCCCAGCCCCGGCAACCACCATTCTATTCACTGGCTCTATCATTTCACCTATTCTAGATGTTTCATGTAAGAGGATTTATACAGTATTTGTCCTTTTGTGACTAGCTTATTTCACTTAGCATAATTTCTCCAAAGTTTGTCCATGTTGTAGCAGATACGAGAATTTCCTTCCTTTTTAACTGTAGATAATATTCCTACATGTATATACCACATTTTGCCCTCCATTCATCTGTCACTAGGTGCTTGAGCTGCTTCCACAATTGACAGTTATTAATGATGCTGCTGTGAACATGAGCATAGACAATAGACATATCTCTTCAAGACCTTGCTCTCAATTCTTTAGATCATATACCCAGAAGTGGGACTACTGGATCATATGCTGGTTCTATTTTTATTTTTTTAAAGAACTTCCTTGTTTTTTTTTAATATAAGGGAAGTAGAGAAAGATCATTATGAAGGAATATGAATGGGTATAGTTGTTGCTCTTGTAATGTGGCTTGAAATCTCTTAAAAATCTGTGGGCGATCCTAGCAGTTAGCCTGACTGCTGGCAGGTGGCAGGAGGCCCAGGCACATTTCTCCCCACCTCCACCTTCTGCCAATCAGGTAAACTGCTCTCAGGTGTGGCGCAGGCCCTCCTGGAAAGCTACCTTCAACCTGATTGGAGAGGCATATTGGCGCCAGTGTCAGTTCTGTCCTATAGTTAGTGTTCCCCTGAGTTAGTTACGCCCTTTCTCCCTGACCTTTAAAAGTGTAGGTGGCTGTGAATAAAGTCAGACAGGTTTGCTGAAACTTGCCTCAGGTGCTCCTTGTGGGAAGGACACTGTCACCCTGCTCTCCCGGACAGTGTGGCTTTGCAGTATGAATGGTTATAGTTGTTGCTCTTGTCTTGTGGCTTGAAATCTCCTAAGATCTAGATTTTCTGCCCTACCTTTACCTATCTATCCTGTTTAAACCTCTCATTCTTCATCTGTAAAAATGAACAAAATGTTGCTTTGGGGGATTAAATTATATTATTGATGTAATATTACCTAGTAATTTATAAAATGTCAATAAACCTTTCCTAGATTAACAGAGCCAGCTGCCAGAAGAACTGAGCTTTCCTGCTGTCTTTGGTGATTAACCACTATTAGTGAGTTCATCATAATCCCAAAATCATTCTCTGGGATCTTAGCTGCTATAGAGTTTCTGTTACATGATCGATATCCCTGGCCAGATTGGTTTGAGATAAGGAAGCACGCCATGAGTTTTATTTTGATCCTTGTCAAATGCCACAGGGCTCAGTACCATGGACTACCTTATAGCTTCAGGTTTATTGGGAAATTAATGTTGTGTATGTGAATACAAACCAAGCCCTCTGGTCCCACCACTTCCCCTGTCTTAACAAAATTCAGTCCAAAGCTCTGGGGTAGCTCCAGAATAGTTTCAACCTCCTGGAAGAACCTGAATTAGAATCTGTAAATTCTCTCAATGCAAGTGTCCCTTCTCAATTGCAAAGGATCAGTGATATCACTATTGCTGTAGATCAGAGTGCAAAATTTAAAATCTCTGGGTGCTTACTTCTAAATCCTGGGATATAGAAAACAGGCCCTAGATGGCTAAAAGTCGAAGTCCAAAAATATAAATTCACTTATTCATCTCAGGAAACAATGGAATTTCCTAGATTATACAAACACCTCAAATAAATCAACTCCTGTTATTTATCTTGATTTTTCTTTTCTCTTTCATTTTACATCTCCTATTTATTTTTCTTTTACTTATTTTAAATTATTATAAAGACAGGTTCTTATCAGAGGAACAGCTCTTGAAACGTATTCTTGCTACCACTAGTTCAAATTTCTGAGCCAAAAATGATACTCAGGTTAGTTTGAATATGCACTACGCAATAGGTTAGTGGCACCTATTACTGTCACTGCATCACTTAGGTTAATGAAGCTAGGATGAAAGGCTACGATTCAAAGGGAAAGATTCAGAGCTCCTTCCTTTTCTTTACCTTTCTTTTTTTTAAGAAAATAAAAACATTATGACTAAAAATACATGTGCTCAGTATGCAAAACTTGGAAATTTTCAGAAAAATGTAGCAAAGGAAATAATAGTCATAGATAATTTTAACATTTTGAAATAACAAATGTTTTCTACTTTCATGTATATCCTTTCCATCTTTTTTTTTTTTTTTTGGACAGGTAGAGTAGACAGTGAGAGAGAGAGAGACAGAAAGAAAGGTCTTCCTTCCGTTGGTTCACCCCCAAAATGGCCGCTGCGCTAACCCAAAGCCAGGAGCCAGGTGCTTCCTCCTGGTCTCCCATGCGGGTGCAGGGCCCAAGCACTTGGGCCATCCTCCACTGCCTTCCTGGGCCACAGCAGAGAGCTGGACTGTAAGAGGATCAACCGGGACAGACATTTAACAAATATGTCATTCCTAGCTTGTGCATAACTGCCTACTGCTGTCAATATTCACATTTCCTTCATTTCTTTCAGATGGAATGGGGAGAGTCCTTGCTCAAGATGTGTATGCAAAAGACAACCTACCCCCCTTCCCAGCATCGGTAAAAGATGGCTATGCTGTCCGAGGTAAATATTTTGGTGTTCTTTAATTACCATTAGACGCACTGCATTGTTTTCTAATTTTTGGCTTATCCCAGAAACCAAATTACTGGTACTTCCATTTCCCCAATGGCTGTCAGAATAACTTCATTCACAGATAATAGTGTTAATCTATATCTGTAAATTCCTTGTACAATCTTAATTAAAACTTTTTAATGAGAGTGACATTGAGGTTTTCAGCTGGAAAATTTCCAGACCAAGACTGTCTGCTGTCTGACATGTGTAGGAGATGAACAAGTAAGCTATGCTATGGTGCTTTTATTTTATCCCTATATGTTACACAGAAACTCTTGCTTAGAAATAAATATAGAGTGATCAAGTGAAAACACTATGCTGTTCTTTCAATGCATACTCGTGCCAGACAGCAGAAACAGTATTGATCTGGAAGTTTCCCAAATGTTTTCTAGCTGAAAATATCTATATGATCCCAGGAAAAAAAGAGTAGATTTCCAGCACAGGGATAAAGCAAGGTATTCCATTCTGCTTTAAATGCAGACATCAGTAAAAGGCTTCTTGAAAAAGCAGCATGACAGAAACTTCTAATTCTCTCTCTAAAAAGAAATGCCATATGTCAAAGTCCTAGAACCCAGATGGTACCAGCACAGTTTCCTGAGATTGTGAGAATATTAAAAGCAAATACTGAATAGCATTTGACTGCCTAAAATCTAATCTAAGAACACAAAATGAAAATGCAACTAAATTGCTTAGAAACCATTTTTGTGGTGTTTTATTCCATGTACAACATGTTTTCAAATATGTACTTGCATATGTGGAATGGGTCAGTCGAGATACCTAACACATGTATTACCTCACATATACTTATCATATTTTATAGTAAGACTACTTAACATCTACTCTTTTGCTATTTTCTAAAATGCAATACATTGTTGTTGGTCACCAACTCAAAGCTGATATCAAAGAAATATCTAAAAAAAATTCTAATTTGACTTGTTAAAAAGGCCAATTCTTTTTGAATGGTCAGTGGAGTCTCTTCTTTGGCTTTACCTAGGCATACCTATCCATTAAGATAATTACCTTTTACTTGTAATTGAACACATTCATTGATCTTCTCCATATTAATTTACCATTTTAGCAGTAATTTTTTATGTTGGAGGTAATGTAGCATATAGCTAAGTTTATGTATGGGCTTTGAGCAAAGTAAGAGTACTCTGGGTTCTAGTACCAACCAGTTCCATTTATGTAACTTTGAGCAAATCTCTTAAATTTTTTCAGCTTTAGCTTTCTCATCTGTAAAATGGCAATAATTATAATATTTATACTACCAAACAGCTTGTATTAAGGATAAATAAGACTATAGAAAGTCTTAGTAAAGTACCTGCACACACAAAAAAGGCACTCAGTAATATTTAAATGTTTAATGATTATTATTATCACTATTATTATTATACGCACATTTTCGTAGATCATCTCTGAAAAAGGATCACATTTATCTGAACTGTTACTCAAATGTTCTATGTACATAAAAGGATGAAGAGATTGACCTTATGTTTTAATTTCCACTGGTGTATTCTTCCTCAGATGTGTCTCATTCAGCTTGCTCTTACTAGACTAAAACATCTCTGAAATTAGCAAAACCAAACATAAATAACAATTCCTCAATGATTCCTTTTTTTTTTTCAAATTATTTCCTTCTATAGCGTTTATTATAATGATTATTATTCAGAAAGAAAATTATTTTATTCATCTGACTGCCCCATTGGCTCTTCTTGTTTTTCACTTCTCATCTAAAATATTAATTCTGTTTTGGTCTTATAATTTATAGCCATACAGGATTATTATGAAATGACTAAGAATTTTTAATTCCAAAGTAGAACAAAAAACAATAGCAGATGAAATAACAAAGACAAAAAGTAGGGGGAAACAAGAAAATGTTTGAGGCAGAATTACTCTCAAAAAGAATGTTGTTCAGTGATTTTACATGAGGTAGCAGCAGCTCAATAAAAGACAGTATTGTTCTTAGCTTTAGAAAAGTACATGAGCTATAAAAGTCTTTCTGTTACTATAGACTCCATCAAAAGAAGTTTTTTTACTTTTTATATTAACTTTTAATTAGGATCAAAGAAGTTTTATGTGAAATTACCATTTAGTACCGTCTTTATTGTTTTGTTTGGAATAGTGTTATTTTAATTTATTTCACACACATGCACAAGGAATCTAAAATGATATCTCACAGCGCAAAAATCCAAGAGATTTTCTGCTGTGCAGCCAATTCACATTACTTTCTTTCTAAACAGTGTTGCTAGTTCTCTAACAAAGATATAACACATAACAGATACTTGTGAGCATGATTAAATCTTAAAGTAGTGAGATAGATAAATAGGTAGATAGGTAGATAGATAGATAGGTATGTAGATAGATCAGCATCATAACTGAGGCAGCTAGAGTCATCAGTGGATAAAGAGACATGGTCTTATAATCACACTGAATTTCTCAGTTTACACCACCTCACCTTTGTCTGTAGTTCAAGAAGACAAACTCTGTGAATCCTGGAAGTCTTTTTTCTATATTCGTTAATTAAAGGGATTTTCATTTCTCTGAAGGGAATTCCCCTTTAGTCTCCGCAGTGCTGTCATTTCACCCCACGCAGTGTCTTGATAGAGAATGTCCTTGAGGCAGTTGTCATGGCACTCTAACACACTGCAGCTCCTCTCCACCCGCCTTCCTTTACTTGGTCCCTTTCTCCCCACTCCCTTTATTCTCCTCCCTTTTTTCTTCTCCTCTGCCTTTGCCTTAGGCCCTCCGGTAATACCCAGTGGCACTCATGATCATTGCTAATGCTCTAGGTGTAAAGAGGTTGCTAACTTGCTCTGGATCACTAAGCATTAGCCAGTATCCTTCAGAAACATGTGGGATAAAACTCCAAACCAGTTGGAGGATCACTTGCTTAAAGGTATGTGGGTTGAAAAATTAAAACCAGTAATACAGTAATTAAGAAAAAAAGAAATAAATAGAAATAACTTTCAAAAACCGTAAGAGATAATAATGTAATGAAGGCAGAAATCAAGTTATTATAATGTAAATAATATGAAGACCTATAACCTAATAAACTTGAAACTACTTCAGGAGGCAGTGAATTTAAAAGATAGAAGTGAAGAAAAGAAAATGAAAGTGACATACAGAATTGGTAAATAAATAAATCTAAAAAAAGAATTGGAATTGACAGTTGTAATACACTGCTTTTATTCTTCATGTTTTTGAAGTATCATTTCCCCTTTATACTGATTAAACTAATCTCCCTTTTCATGCATTCTCACCAAGCTCTATAGTGTCACAATTGCTTAGATTTTAATGAAAGCAAAAATATCTTAGGATCCCAATTTCAGCTTTCTTTAAAAAGTTTAGTTTGAAAGGCATATCTCTACAGATCTTGTTTTGAGAATGCTTAGAAAAAAAGCCATTTTGGGCCGGCGCCGCGGATCAATAGGCTAATCCTCCACCTAGCGGCGCCAGCACCCCGGGTTCTAGTCCCGGTTGGGGCACCGGATTCTTTCCCAGTTGCCCCTCTTCCAGGCCAGCTCTCTGCTGTGGCCAGGGAGTGCAGTGGAGGATGGCCCAAGTGCTTGGGCCCTGCACCCCATGGGAGACCAGGAGAAGTTCCTGGCTCCTGCCATCGGATCAGCGTGGTGCGCCGGCTGCGGTGCGCCGGCTGCAGCGCGCCAGCCGTGGCAGCCACTGGAGGGTGAACCAATGGCAAAAAGGAAGACCTTTTTCTCTGTCTCTCTCTCTCACTATCCACTCTGCCTGTCCAAAAAAAAAAAAAAAAGCCATTTTGAATAAACAAATTATTTGGTGAATAATGTATAACATACAGTTCTGAAAAGATATATTAAGAGATAGCCTTGCCATTTGGGTAAAGTGAATCTTAAGATTTTTTTTCTCCTTTACAAGATTCTGATTTGAAATAATTTTAGAAAATATAGAAAATCAAAAATAGCATGTTAAAACTAATTTTTTTAAAAAGATTTATTTATTTTATGTGAAAGGCAGAGTCATAGAGAGGCAGAGGCAGAGAGAAGTTCACTCCCTTGATGGACGCAACCGCTGGAGCTGTGCCTATCCGAAGCCAGGACTCTCCTCCAAGTCTCCCATGCAGGTTCAGAGGCCCAAGGATCTGGGCCATCCAGCACCACAGCCATCTTGGGAGTGAACCAGCAGATGGAAGACCACTCTCTCTGTCTCTTTCTCTCTCTGTAACTCTTTCAAATAAATAAAATAAATCTTTAAAAAAAGATATTTTCTAGGATATCTGAAACTTATGCTTTATAATAGGTCTCAATACATTCAGCCTTCTTGAATGGTGAGATTCCTTATTCTTGAAAATAAGTGAATAACTACAATTATACAGAGGCTTAAAGAGATAAAAGATGGCTGGAAAATGTAAATAATGGATAATTATTTGGCAAATTGAGGACAATAATTTACAATGTTTTGCTGCAATGAATAGTTATCTACTGATATCAATTTTATATCATATAATGTAATGTAAAATTCTCAAATAAACAGATAATACTAGAAATAATACCTTGACATTTAAAAAGAGGGAAGAAGAGAGAGCAGCTTCAGGGTCTAGCATGAAGCATTATGAAATGCTTGCATAATACAATTGCTGTTAGGGTTTGGTTTATTTTGCTTTTATCACTTCCGTCTAATTAAATTCTATAATTACTAAGCAGAAAAGAAAACTCATTAGCAAGTATATCAGAATTGGGAAGCAAAAAATATTTTAAGTCTTGACAAAAGTCTTTGGAATCCAATAGTTTTTTGTTTTGTTTTGTTTTTTTGACAGGTAGAGTTATAGACAGTGAGAGAGAGAGACAGAGAGAAAGGTCTTCCTTCTGTTGCTTCACTCCCCAAATGGCCACCACGGACAGCACTGCACCGATCCAAAGCCAGGAACTAGGTGCTTCCTCCTGGTCTCCCATGCGGGTGCAGGGCCCAAGCACTTG